AATAACGCTCTTTAAAAACCGTAGTACTTATCTTGTAACGCTCCTTAAACGATCGCCTTGACCTTGTGCCAAATCGTAAAGCCGCCTCTATTATCTTTGAGGAACGTTACGCGGCATAACCCTTTTTCTAGCGACAATCCGTCGCATTTGCCCCATCTCTGGACTCGACATAAAACCTGTCACAATAGTAATGTATGATAAAATCTTCAAAAATTAGCCAATCATAATAAAGCCCGCTATGCTGTATAGAATGGAGTTTAGTTAGTATTGGTATCATTATTAGTTCAGTTTCATCGTCAAGTGTATGTAAGCAAACCTTCAGACTTGTTCTAATAGAATCTTTAATTTTTTACTAATCAGAATTTAGTTCGCCACATGAGTATATGGAAATCGGTTTCCACATCTTTTTGAAAACAGCTATAATATACTTACGTACGTACATATATAGCAACTAGGTTTTTTTCTGGTTATTACTAGCGTCTCCAATCTCTGCAGAATTTCGATAATAAATGAAGCCATATGTTTCATCCTTTTCTGCCTTTTGAAATTATGATAGTAAATTACAAGAATTATTTTAACCATAGAGTCGAATGGATTATTTAAGCAATATTTGATAATGTTATTCGAATTTTTTTTTTCTAGAAATTGCCTGTCGGAAACTAAGCTGAGACATTTGCCGTTTATTATACAAACCACAATTTCTTTTAAAAAAACCTTATGACATATCTTATAGATGTAATTAGTTAACTTTATTGAATATTTTATTAACACAACATAGTAAAAATTTTTAAGAAAATAAACTGCTACAATTGCTATCAATATTATCAATACGGACTTCTTTACTTGGTTTAAGATGTTGATTATTCTTAAAATTTTCAAACTTCGAAACAGTTTCTCTCGTATCAATAAGTTTGGATGTATACATAATATTTTCATGTATTTGCGTAATAATTATCATTTCCTTATTTAATATATCTGCTTCTAAAAATTGGTTCTTAATCTTCTCATCATCTTCACTATACGTGTAATTATTTTGATCACCATAATAATCACCATCATAATCCCTATTATTGGCGAATATCATTTTTTTTCATTTTTTAAGCTTATTAAAAACCACAACAGCTTTAGTTCTTTTTTTCATATCTGAATGAATGCGTTGTTCGAATAATTTAATATTACTATCGTTGGAAACTATGATGTTTTTCCATTTTTCAAGTTTATCAAGAATCTCAACAGCTGTAGGTCGTTTTTCCACATCTGAATCAACACATTGTTTGGCTAATTCAGCATAACATTTTGGTGTCTCTATATTAAATTCAGGTCGCAATCCATATAAAATCTTTACAGCTAATTCGGCATCAAAATTATGACCATCGAAAGGTCTTCGACCAGTTAATATTTCTATCATAATAATCCCAAAACTGTAAATATCAGCAGCTTGAGTAAACTTATCACCTTTCAAGACTTCAGGAGCTATATATGGCAAAACTCCACAATATGACCATCTTGTTTTTCATCAAATGATATTGATAAACCCAAATCTGTAATATAAGCTTCATATCCTTCTTTTAATAAAATATTACCAAGATGTAAATCTCGATGAATAAATTTTTTAGAATGAATATTTATTAAGTCTTGAATAATATCGCTTAATATTTTTAGTTTAATTTTCCATTCCGATTTAAATATATCGTTAAGATTGTCACGTAATGATCCAAATTTTGCGTAACTTATCACTAAAATAAAATCTCCGGTATTTTTATCCATTGATATTCCATTATATTTCCCAAATTCATGATATGCCTTTAACTATTTCATAAACAAATTATATACAATTAATTTATGCATGACTAATTAATAAACATTAATTTAAATTTACACGTAAAAATAAAATACCTCGTTTAAAAAAAGGTGCTTATTTTTGTGAGAATCTTTTATTATTTTAATTGCAACTTCATACGTTTCATATGAAGTTTTATACACTACAGAAAATCCTCCTCTACCTACTTCTTCAATGTTTCTGAAATTATCGTATTCTATCCATCGGAAATAATTATTAAAATTACATTCATGTTGAGTAACTGCAGATTTTAAAAACCATTCAAATGCCAAATCTTTATTCCTTTCCACGCCAATTCCTTGCTGATAACACAAACCAACACTGTGCATTCCACAACAATTTCCATATTCTGCACTTTTTAAATAGTGTTCAAAAGCTTTATGTTCATCCTTTTCAATTCCAGTTCCATATTGATAACAAACTCCAACATTACATATCCCAGCGAGGTTACCCATCTCTGCAGATTTTTGATAATAAATGAATGCCTTATGTTCATCCTTTTCAACTCCAATTTCATTCCGATAACAATATCCAACATTGTTAATTGCAGCTGCATATCCAATCTCTACAGATTTTTGATAATAAATGAATGCCTTATGTTCATCCTTTTCAACTCCAATACCATTTTCATAACAATATCCAACCTCGTTAATTGCAGTTGCATCACCCATCTCTGCAGATTTTTGATAATAAATGAATGCCTTATGTTCATCCTTTTCAACTCCAATTCCATATCTATAACAAGTTCCAACACAACGTGTTCCATTAGCATTCCCCATCTCTGCAGATTTTTGATAGTGAATGAATGCCTTATGTTCATCCGTTACAACCCATTTTCCATACCTATAACAAATCGCAAGAATGTGTTGAACCATAGTGTTACGGTGGTAACGTGAGGAAGGTGTGACGATAAACAGTGCGTCGGGCTGTGTGAAACTTAGAATTAGTACAAGCCTTGTCTTTGTAAATAGAATTTTCTAAAATTGTATATACTTAC